ATGCTAAAGAACTGACTTCCATAGTAGTTTTAATTTATCCTACGTGCCTCAAACAAATCCCTTGGATGTTGTTTAAAGAGCAGAGATCTCTAGATATCTGATATATATATATATATATATATATATATTAAAGGTGTAACAATACGCGTATTTGTATTGAACCGTTTGGTATGACACTTTCTGTTAGGTACGGATTACAAACCGAACCAATTCATACTAATATCTAAAAAGATAAAAAAGAATAAGTGTACAAAATAAAATGTTTCCTGTGCCACAACGCTTAACAAGGCATCCCAAATGACATGACAGGCAACATGCTGGCTTACCCGGCCACCTCCAAATACTGCTCCACTCAGAGCACAACGCTGCACTAGCTCGCAAAATGGCTATAACGTTAATGTAATCCTCCAATAACAAACAGCGAGTCTGGCATTTAGGAACACTTTGGTTTCGGAACATTTATAGATATGAGACAGGGCTCGACGTTGTGACCGATGTCGTGCGACCAGTTTTCACAGCAAAATGTTCACCATGTGTGCGGAATTAAGAGGCATTAACGCATTAAGCATCTTTGCACCTAAAAACGCCAAACGCAGCGCTCAGGAATGGTTTAAAACAGTTGACATGTCAACTTGCAGTAAACAAAGCCTGCAATGCTTGCACCGCCTTGAAGCTCTTCTTATTGGCCCACTGCACTAGAACAGAACGCAAATAAATTGGTTGATATCAGCTGTCAATAACTTCGTTCCGATGACAGGGAGCTACAACCGCAAAAACGTAAAGGTCTGGATAAGACAGAATGAAAACAACACTTGCAGATTTAGTTTTAGAAACCACCTAAAGTTACAAGTAAGTGGTTAAAGTCCGCTATGAAAACGACTGAAGCATTCATCGTAAAGCCAGTGGGACAGAGTTTTCAGGTAACTGTGTTTGCCACTGAATCTACACATTAGGCAAGAGATGTTTTAGTGTTATTTCTTTCTTTCAATTACTGTCACGATGATGTCAATCATGCTGATACCACGTTCACCATCGCTAAAGAGCATGCATTCACTGAGATGAAACTAATATTGCAGTTTATAAAAAAGAAAAAAATATTATAGGAAATACTGTGAAAATGTCTTTGATGTCCTTGCTCTGTTAGACATAATTTAGGAAATATTTTAAAAAGAGAAAAACTAAAGAAAAACAATGACAGGATGGCTGATAGTTTTGACGTCAGCTGTATCTGTTTTGCTTATCACCTGAATGTAGACTGTGGCAAAGATCTAGTACAGAAGTAGAGACACAAAGGAGAAGCAGAGCGACGGAAAGCGTAGGAGCAGCGAGATACAAAAAGCAAGCAGAAACAAACCCCCGCCTTTGCTGACACCACTATTGTCTTTTGCGTGACAGAGTAAATTAGTGTGATCGTCTGTGTGCGCGTCTGAGCTATCATAAGCGTATTAACACAGGCCCTACGGGGAGCGCTGGTAATCAGGTCTGTTTGACAGAGCCAGCGGGGGGAAATCTCTAGAGTATCCATCCATCCCATGTGCTCCAATGTATACCATGCAGCTCTCTTTGCTGATAAATGTCTATCTCTCTTCCTACTGCTGCACTGTATGTTTGTCTTTCTGGTCTTTTTCTATGTTTGTCTTGTCTCGACTTTGTTTGCTTGTGCTTAAACAGTCTTTAGCTACTATATTTAGCTTTAACTACAAAAATAAACTTATATGCTCATTTCTCACTCCAATAATACCACTACAATTAAGAGGTCCACAATTGACCATATATGGTTTATGTCAGGGGTGGCCAACCCTGTTCCTGGAGAGCCACCTCCCTGCAGATTTCAGTTGCTACCCATATCAAACACACCTGAACCAATTAATTAGGACCTGAACACCACATGATTATTATAGGCAGGTGTGTTTGATATGGGTTGCAACTGAAATGTGCAGGATGGTGGCTCTCCAGGAACAGGGTTGGTCACCCCTGGTTTATGTCATGAATATTAATGAGCTCTGCTCTGACGTGCAGGTCTTACAGACAGACATACACAAATAGCAGGATGCACGCTGAACACAGACCAATATAAACCCATCACAGTAACCTTAAACTACTTTGCTAACCAGATCTGATGTGGATAAAGGTTAAATTATAATTAAACTTGACAAAAGGGAGCGATAGAGATGTATCACTTTGTATTCTGAAGCTATATGAATCAGTCAAGTTTGGTGAAGGAAAAAAACATGGTTTGCAGTTACTATCAGTATGGGTGTACAAGAGATCTGCAGAGTGGATGGCAACATATCAAGACATTTGTGCTGCCCTTTACAACCCCAGGAGAGGGCAAATTCTTTAGCAGGAAAGCACTCCTTCCCATACTTCAAGATGCTCTAGGATTGACCAGCCCAGTCACCATATATAAACATTATTGAGCATGTCTTGGGTAATTTGAAGGAGGAGTCACTGAAGATGAATCCGAAGAATCTTGATGAACTCTGGGAGTCCTGCAAGAACGCTTTCTTTGCCATCCCAGTTGTCTTTATCAATAAGTTATTTGACTCATTGGAGAGACGTATTGATGCAGTCCTCCAAGCTCATGGGAGTCATACACAATATTTATTCTTGTTCCACTGCACAATGACTTTATATTCTAAACTATACATTATTTCTGACTCTAAGCAAAGTCAGACCTTACTGTCAACTTATTATTTGTTGTTCCTAAAACTTTGATATGCGACAAGACTTTGTCAGGTAGTATATATAATAAATATAGATCATTTTGAGGGATGTAAACAAAAACAATGATCCCAACATATTTCCTGTTTTACATTTTTCATTTGTTTAGCTTCCGAGATACCATAAAAGTAATACCATAAATAATGCTATGATAGCTGTTTTAACATTCAATTATGATTAAATTGCCTCTTGTTAAAGTTGTGAAATAGTTTAATAACAAGCAGAAAATGTTCATGGGCCAATGACATGACCATTTTAAAAATGGTCTATTAAAGTTTCACTATATAAAGTCGTTAAGTCACTAAAATTTTTATATAAGTTAATGTAAGTACTAAGTATAACATTTGTTTTAAGTGCTTGTGGTGGTCCTAATACTGTGGTTACTTTGGTAGAACCAGTATAATTGGTTAAATCTTAGTTAAAGCAGGCTCTTTTACACATTAAGGTTTGTCTTTTAATGCTATGTTGTGTTTCATTTTCTATTGTTATTTGTGTGCGGGTGCGTGCGTGCGTGCGTGCGTGTGTGCGTGTGTGCGTGCGTGTGTTCCTCTCTATAAGCATTGCATTTTTAAGCAGCCATGTCAGATTAAAGTTTATTTCAAGGCTTGCGTTTTACTGCTTTTTGTGTGTTTAAAAGTATGTTTTATTGCAGAGTTCAAACTATATAGCTCAAACTTTTCTTTGTACAGTATGATAGATCTATTTGTTGAAACCTTCAGATTTAAATGCAGGTCAAAAGTTTTGTGTCATTATTTAAATGCATGTGTATCTTTACAATAGTATCCACATGTCAAATTCCATCCGCGCTGACCTGTGAACTGCTTTTTGCAGTGAAATAATAGAGATGTGTAAACGTGTTCTGTGGGGTGATTCATACTTTGTCTCTCAACTAAGATTTATTTAGCACAGGGTTTTAAAATCTCGCTAGAGTATGAATCATGCCCCCCGAAAAGAGCAATGTTTTAGTTCATGATGAGGATGTGCTTCACGATTGTGAATCATTCTAAGCATCCATAAACGCTCATGGTAATTAAGAAAGAGCCTCAGAGGATCCACTTGTTTTTTCTAGTGTTTTCTTCCTTTAGTTCTTCCAGCCGCATCTAATGGAGATCCCTTTTTTCTGCTTATGCATGTGGAATTTATTACCAACCCACACAGTTCATCTTTTTACAAACTCGGAGCAAAAGGTCAAGCCGACCAATCAGCTCCAGAGAAAAGAGTGCTGTGCTCTGAATGAGTGCACTTGCTCTTCCATACATTAGAGACAAACTAATTTAGCATTAAAACTGCAAACATGTAAGCACACCAGCAAAGAATAATGGATTTCTCTGTGTAAACATATTTCCAGAGAGGTTTTGTGAAAGTCCTTATATGGAGATGGTTTTGAATATGTTATATGTCTATGTTGGTTGTGTGAGTATAGCCATTGTGAAGTATTGTTTTACAAACTGCATTACTAATCTCTCTTGAATCAACCCTGAGCTTAGTTTTTAACAGCAGATGTACACTGAAAAACAGTACACTTGCTTACTGTTAATGTTGCCCATACATGTGTATACCCATAAACAATGAGAGACACAACATAAGAGTGAAACAAACTACTCATTTCAAAAACTATTTTTAGGTTTAGGTGTCAAAAACCATAAGTCCCTTGGATTCCTTTGGTGTGTACAGGCACCACACACACCAAACACACTCATTTAAAGACTTACTTTCAGTAAAGTAGACAGGGAATTAACTATTTTCTTCTAAACTCCCCTTTTTTAGGGCAGGTAGCCTCATTTAAGGGAAAAGAAGTTGAAATGCATGCTCTTATGAGTGTGTGTTCACATTATAAGGGATTTTCATGTGCCCAAGGATGAGGCCAGATATAGAAAACTCTCTGTTGGCTTATGTAGGTTTACTCAGTAGCTGCAGCACGAAGAGCACACTTAAAAAAGTTCCTCACACAATGGAGAGATTTACATTTCATTCAAGGACAAGAGGAAGCCTTGGCGGAGAGATGTATTACATCATTGTGTTAATGTAAAACACTACTAATAGTATGTGTGGGCTTTTTATCTTTTGTGTTCGTGCAACTTAATGCGTCAGTTCCATACTAATAAAGACGCATGTGCAACGTTTTCTAAATACGTTTTTACGGATGCTTCTGACTCTGAAATGCACTTTATTTAAAGTCAATACATTTATTGAAGCACATAATAGCAAAAATCAAACATGGCCTGTTTTGTTTATGTCTTCAATACCTTACTATGTTTGTGTATGTGTCTGTCTAGAACCTGACGATGATGAGCAGAAGGTGAAGACGCAGAGGCCACGATCGGCTGACCAGCCAGGTGTGTTTCAGGCACAGACTGGTGAGTCTCATTGTCTAGATGCATTTCGCTTAAATGCACTTCAGAACCATGGACAGCGCTTACATTTAATCAAAAGAAGAGAGTCTGAAAAATAGCTGTAAAAAATGTTTGTCTGATTCTCATAAAGGTTTGTTGAGTAATGGAGGGTATAAACTATCTGAATTAGATGGGATTAAGCATCAGAACTCTAAACATTTTATTCCAAACATGTTTTTAAGTATTTGTCCATTGCCTTTTGTGATTTTAATTTGGTTTACATTTTATATGTCTAAATCAATTTATATTTATGAATCACAAAACTTCAAAATAAAGTTCAAAATGTTTTATTGTGTTTTCTGCTTCTAAGGGAATCTTCATAAAATATGTATCATTCATTCATTCATTCATCCATTCATTCATTCATTCATTCATTCATTCATTCATTCATTCATTCATTCATTCATTCATCCATCCATTCATTCATTCATTCATTCATTCATTCATTTATTTATTTATTTATTTATTTGTTTATTACTTTTAGTATTGGTTAAAAACAGCATGCTATCTACTGTTAAAACTAAGCTCAGATTCAATTCAAGAGTACTAATATATTTTCAAAATCTCTGATTTAGTGCAGCATTGATTTCTCAAATATGTAATTGGTTTACATTTTATTTGTCCATGTTGTTTTATATTTATGGATCACAAAGCTTATTTATTGAATTATTTAAATTAAGATTTTATTGTGTTTTCCACTGGTTCTTTATTAAATAAATACATATTTATTTATTTATTTATTTTTGTTGTTGTTGTTTAGAGTCATTGCAACATATTTTGTTCTGCTTTACATCTTCTGTGATGTTTTGAATAACAAAAATAAAGGGAACTGGAAACAGGATAATCAGGGTAAATTGCATATATATGCAAGTAGCCTTAATAATAAAATAATTAAAAATAAATAAGTACATCCATAAAAATTTAGAGTTTGCCAGAGCATAACCTTAAAAAAAATAAAATAAATAATAATACAATTAATAAATGAGTAAGTCTTTTTTTGATAGTCCATTGATACTGCTCCTTCAACAGACTCCTTTAACTGTCTATAAGAAACTTTGTAAGTACGTCAACTTACACTAACCCTAATCTAACAGTCTACTTATAGTTTAATGAGAATTAGTTGCTATGTAACTTAAATTCAACAAATGGACCATCAACATAAGGTGTGACCAAAAATTACTGTAACTGCAATACTTAAAAATCCTGTACAGTTTCATATGCTAAGCACTATTTATAAATGTATATATATATATATATATATATATATATATATATATATATATATATATATATATA